ATAATTAATGATTTTGAGTTATGTGTATCATTTTATTAATAGTTTTATTGTTTTATTTATATGTTTAAAGATTAAAATATGGCTCAATTGGTCAGTTTTCTAAAGGAAAAAGACAACACTTCCAGCCAAGCAATTTTGTGTTCAAACATCAGTACTGCTTGTATTTAATATTTATTACAAACCAATACTTAATGGTTGAGGACAAAGTTACTTTAATCAACTAAATTAGTCATCTATATTATAAGCGGGCTGGTAGTATGTAAGTCGTTCCGTCATCGCTTTAGATTTTGGAACCATAAAAGTAAACACTTAACGTGTCGTGCTTTTTACTTGCGTCGCAGTGTCTTATTATAAGTAATAGAGTAGGGTTTGTTTATATAACGACTTAATTTTGGTTTATAGTTGCCACTCTTTTTACTTTTTCGCATAGACAAAGTGAATACATTTTAATAATAATAGGGAAGAAAAACTAATTAATTAAGCTGTTTTGTAATTTTGCGATTGGAGGTAATTTAAAAATAATTTCTACTCACGCTAAAAACAAAAATGTGAATTTCAAAATCTCCAAGAGGGAATTATTGTTAGAATAATACAATTAGCAACATGTGAATGCAAACTCTGTAGACGTGTAAATACATATATGTAATGTATTATTCATAATGTTGAAAATATGCATATGTATATTATGGTTTAACATAAAATTATAGTTTCTAAAGCATAAACATTTTTTTCGCTACTAACGTTTAGTCTATTTAAACGATCTATGCATCATTATCATAATAATATTTCTTTTCTTTTAACCTTAGGGTTAGCTCTTTGTCAAACTTAAAGGTAAAACATATTAAACCAATCATAATTTGTGTCACGATTAACGTTTAAGTGATCCCATAACACTAAAAATAAGTTACTATAGTCGTTTACTAAGTTGAATCAGACGTTTTCGCCGGCGCCTCAGTATGGTGCGATTTGGCGCCTCGGGCTAGACTGTGAGCACTGCGTTTGTGTTTTCTTTGTGTTTGAGTATGGGTTTGTGGTTTGGATTGTGTTTGTGTTTCCATTTGGATTAGGGTTTGTTTTCGTTTGCTTTTTTGTTTGCGTTTGTGTTTGTGTTTTCTTTGTGATTGCGTTTTCGTTTGTGTTTGTATTTGTGTTATGTTTGCTGTTTTTTTGTGTGTGTTTTGGTTTCGGTTGATTGTGGTTACGGTGGGCAATGCCGGGTATATGCTGATTACTAAACACACAAGTCATAGTCCTTTACAGAAAGGTTTCTCACAGATGCCAGTGCAAGCCTGGCCGGGACGGCTAGTAGTTAGTATATATTTTTACAATTTTGGCCTATATACACCACCCTATTTTTTCCTTTACGGATTGTAAAGGATTAAATGCATTACTTTGAAATTTCTAATTCAAATTTTTTTGATCAGAGTTGAGATGGATAAGTTTAGTTACCTAATCCTGACCGTCTGTATATATATATATATATATATATATATATATATATATATATATATATATATATATATATATATATATTTGTGTATAAACACGATAACTTGATACATTTAAGAAACGTGTTCTGTAAGTACTGCATCAAATATGTTTGTTCCATGAATTAGAGAGCCATTATCGGTAAAGCGAAATTCTACTTACTCAACTTCAGTTTTCTAAAAATCCTATAACTTGAGTGTCGTTTAAGTTAATATATGTATTTTAGATTGAACTCTATTCGCGTGTGAAAATGACAACATGAGTGTTGTTTAAGCTAAGTAGACGAATTTTCATATATACGTATGCACTATCATATTTGGATTATTCTCATAAATTGATTGATCTACAATATACATGTCATACTTTCATCTATTTTTCCTGTATTTAAAAACCGATAACTTAAGTAACGTTGCAAATCTGTGGTAGAAATACATGTTCCCGTTTTTAAAAGCAACATTACCTTTAATGAACACAACAAACATTAAAGGTACTGAATGATTGTGCAGATGTAAAAATTATGACGCGAGAAAATCAAAGAAATTAAAAATATTCAACCATTCTAGTTTTTAACGAGGACACTAACCTACATAATTGTATATAGTAATTTTACATGAGTTGTCTTAGTTATAAGTATCTATATATATATAATTCTCTTCATGGGGAACATGCGGGACAAGACGTAGACGCTCCGCTCTTCAGGCATATTCCTACCACCCCCACCCCCACCAATCTGGTGAGCTTTGGTTCACGACGAATGTTTACAATCGTGGAGCCTGGTTGAATTAGTGACGGCTATTAGGGGCAGATAATTTAGTATTACACGATTTGAAACGAAGGAGAGGTAACAATGTCTGCTTGATCTTTTCATTGTCGTCTGTAAACTGTGCGGAGGGTGGGGTGTGGGAGGGAAGGATTTGGGCTTACGGGGTGGAATTTGAAATTCCCAAATTTTGAATTGCTGATAAGAACTAGATGGCGGCAACTAGATGGCGGCGTAGCCTAAGCAACGTCGCGAGTCAGCCCATTAAGTAAATTATTGTTCGTCTGATTTAAAAAAAAAAACAAAACAATATAAACAATTTTAACGTTTAAAAATCTACTTGTAAAATAAAATTTTGTAGTAAACAATTTTATTTACACGTTTATTTAATATCCTGCTATAGTAAGTATTTTTGTTTGTATATAAAGCACACTTCGAGCAGCGATTTTCCAAACAGAAAAAAAAACAAAAAAAAAAACGCAAGTAATAATTTTAAAAATATGGATCTAACGTTAGTTTTATAAAAACAATAAAACACACTAAACATTATTGTCCAGATAGTCTTAATTAAGATTGATTTCTAATTAAAATTCAAATACTGTAAATATATGTTTTTTTCTCTAAATTAATCTTTAAAGCTTGTAGTTTTATAGTTTCACTCACTTTATATATTTATGTATTTCCTAGACACAGACCACATGTTAATATAATTAGATCAGACTTTTTACCAAATATAAGTGTACATAACCTCCTCCAGATCAATGTTACATTAAAAAATATTAGTGTTTTGAACGGACACAAAATTTAGTGTTTGTAACGGACACGAATTTTGAAAATTCATAATAACTTATTTTGAAGATATGCACTTAAAATTTTTAGCTGAGTGCCCCAAATATGGAAGAAGATTATGAATTCATTGTTTATTGGGCTTAAAATATAATATTTTATGGATGGTAGAAAACCTACGAGGGGGTTTAGTTTTCAAGATGGCCGCCGTTGTCATAATTACCAAGATTGTTCCACCATTTTTTAATGGAAATGCACATGTGGATGTATTTTAATAAAGCAGTAAAGAAATAACTGTTTTCTAACGAGTATTATACAAGTTTTTTTTTACCGGAGCCTCCCCCCTTAAACTAGAGAAAAAAATAATTTATAGCCGTCAATAGCAGTACTGGTTGCCGTGGAAACCGCGAAAAGGTGTGAAAACTAACACGTTTTCAAAGCGCTATAACTTTGTCCTCATAAGAGATTTTTAAAAGCGGATGAAAGATTTAGATTTCTCAAACCAAACTATACATTTCTACGTTTACTCATTACGATAGCTCGTAATCAATTTTTTATACAAATTTGTACGTAAATTTATGTGCAAAACTTAGGGGGTGGTGCTACATAAATATCAATATTTCCTAAAATATTGTAATAAACTTAATGTACGAACGTACTTTTGTAGATGGTATAATTGTAAATTTGCGTGGAGTGTTTTAGCCTTGTATGACAAAGGGTTCCAAAGCTTTAGCGATTTGAATGTTGAATTTTGAGTAAAAATGTTAAGTTGATAAGACGTAAAAAGAAGAGCGGAAAAAGGCACTGTGCGTTTTCTCTTATAGAAAACAGAAAAAAAAACGCCTTGTTATATGTGGAAGACTCATTTGACTAATAAAATACACTTTGATTTATGTTGTAAGTTTTAGACAGATTTTTCAATGTAAGCAGAAAATATGTATACCACAGGTAATGAATTTATGATTATTAAGTATTACACATCCTATCAATCGAGCAGTATTCTCAGAACAGCTAACATCAAACCAAATCGAGTTTTGTTTGTTAGCCGGTCTTCTCACTTCAATACAATATCTTTCCCTACTTAAATTGTAGCTTACACAAGTTTATTGACTTATTATAATAGCCTATTACACAACACTGGTACAACGCTTGAGGCTAGACACGCCCCTCCACCCAACTCCACAGCTGGACAGTGCGTGAAGAACCGATGAGCCATAGATTACCAATGTTCATTCAAGCGTGAATAACACATCTGTGTAGATAGGGTAAAGTACAGGGCCAAAGTGAATGCTTATCAGCTATCTTATCTAGTATTTACATTCGTTGCTACCACACCGTATACGGAGAGATGGACATACATATTAACACATTTGTCGTATACAGTCCGGTGTAAAGCCTGAAGAACGCGTTCAAGCCTATCACAGCATGCCGTAACAAGATTATAAACCGGCCGCTGGATGAATGGCGAGAAGGGGATGAGGGGGGTAAAGGGGATTGACAGTACGTTCTTCAAACTGATAGACATGTCCATGACGCATTGTGTTAGCTAGTTGCAGCCTATCGTGAATTATTTTGATTTACTGTACTATAATATGATTGGTCAAGCGTATCAATGAATCTCTTCCCATTCATAACTTTTCCGCGCATGCCATTATATGGAGTTTGATTTAAAGTTTACTTTGTAGTAAACAACTTCCATCCCACTTATTTTTAGAACAAAAGGAATTAAAATGCTACTATGAACAACATGTATAATTATGTTTTTTTTTTTATAGTTAGTCGAAGCAACTCTATATTATCTAAAACATCAAACAAGCTTGTTTACTTCCTTCTAAGTGAGGGTTGGTTCTCAGTTTGTAGTTGGAGAGGAGAGTGGGCTAAGTAATTCTTCAATGACAAAATATAGCCAATACTAAATTGATATATAAAACATATACTTTAATCAGACGCTAAATGTTCACACCGATATATAAAATGTTTAAAGAAAAATATAATGAAGGAATGGGCAAGCATTGTTAACATTGTTATATATTGCTGTGGCCTAAGACACACTTTTAAGCTTAAGTTTTTATCGATTAAGTCTGGAGCACGCTAGCTGTTAGCATCAACATTTTCTTCTTATACTGTCGGCGGCGACACGCAATGGTTTGGTTTAGCACTGGAGGATTTATCAGAGTTGTTGTAAGGTGTTGACTTCATTATGTCTCTCCAGGACTCTGTCCATTCATCTGCACCAGTCCCGGTGAATGTCCAAAATAGTACCCGCCCCTAATGGGTGAAATACATAGTACACATCTCATTATTTTTTTATTGAGAATGGTTTTAACAGTTTTTTTTGTTTTATTAATAGTTCTATTGTTTTATTTATTTATGTTTATAGGCTGCTACATAGTGCTATTAGTCAGTTTTCTAAAGGAAAAGAAATAAACCGGGAATGATCTCCACTAAACTTTCTCGAATATTCTTATGTAAAATAACAGGGGATGGGAACTAGGGATTTAGATATGATTTTTTATCCATTTTAAATACTTAAACTTTTTAAAATAGAATAAAATCTCGTAGAAAAAAGAATTGCACACCAAGTGAAAGCCAAATAAAATAGTGTGCAATATTATTAGTCTAATACATAAAGCTCAATTCTGTATGTTTGTAAAATGTTTAATGTGGATTACAAAGGAATATAATAAAAAATAATAAAAAACGAGACCTCGATGGATTCAAGTGTTAGATTATTAAAGCGCTAATGGTCTAAATTTATTAGTTAAAAATTAATACTGAAAGTGTTGGGAAATAACTTTCATGTTTGAAACTGATAGTAATAATTGTCGGCATGTTCATTAAACACAATTTTAAAAAAATATCATCTTTTAAAAAAATTCTAATTATGTCTGAAAATTATTTATATTTAGTCCATTAGCACTTACTTCCCTTTGATAAATTAGGAAAACACAACTACTTCCCTTTATAAAACATTGCACTTTTTATTACTTTGTTTTGGTGTTGGGAAAAAAAAATACATAGTTAGCGGGGATTGATCAAGTGCAAATGTTGTAGATATTTTTAATACTGCCTTTTATTTATTCTATACACTGAACTTACTGTTTACTAATTATTTCTTAAATCAATAACAGTTAATAAGCAAGGTCCTTCATGACCTATATGTTTATTTCTTTCCGTTTACGGATGAGCTTTGAGTATTATAATTTTGTTCACTAAATTGAAACAGGTGCGTCCGCTGGCGCCCCTGCACGGTTCGATTTGGCGCCCTGGGCTATCATGTGAACGCTATGCTGCATAATTTTGTTTTAAATAGTGCGATAGACTATGAACAAGAAAGATTACTATAGTCTTTAAGTGAATCAAATCCGGGCGTCCCCCGGCACCCCGACAGGGTGCTGTTTGGCGCCCCGGGCCTTCCCGTGTACGCTATGGTACCTACGTTCGCGTAAGTGAGTTCAAAAGACTATGAATAAGTTGGTTACTATAGTCGTTTACTAAGTTGAATCAGGCGGTTACGCCGCACGTCGTCATGGTGCGATTTGGCGCCCCGGGCTAGACTGTGGACACTTTGAGTTTATCTTTGCGTTTGTGTTTTCTTTGTGTTGGAGTTTAGGTTTGCGTTTGTGGTTGTGTTTGCGTTTGGATTTGGGTTTGGGTTTGTTTTCTTTTTTTTTCTTTGCGTTTGTGTTTTCTTTGTGTTTGTGATTGTGTATGTGTTTGCGTTTGGTTTTGTGTTTTCGTTTGTGTTTGTATTTGCATTTGTGTTTTTTTGGTGTGTTTTGGTTTTGTTTGGTTGTGGTTGGGTTTGTGTTTGCGTTTGGATTTGTTTTCGTTTGCTTTTTTGTTTGCGTTAGTGTTTGGATTTTCTTTGTGTTTGTGGTTGGGTTTGTCTTTGCATTTGTTTTTCTGTTTTCGTTTGTGTTTGCTTTGTGTTAGTGTTATTTTTGCGTTTTTTTGTGTGTTTTTGTTGGTTGTGGTTAGGGTGGGCAATGTCTGATAAATGCTGATTACTAAACATACAAGTTATGGTCCTTTACAGATACGTTTTCCAGAGGTGCCAGTGCAAGGCCTCGCCGGGACGGCTAGTATAACATAAATACGAAGAAAATGGAAACATGATGAACGGAAGTAAATAATACATGAAATAAAAAGTAAAGTATGGGATCATTTTTTAGACCTAGTGATCCGTTGGGCAGGTGAAGCAGAGTTTATATATTTCTTGACCTTAGCATATAAATGGAGGTGTGGTCAGCACTTTACCAAAAAGCCTTTACTTTCCCCGAACATCAGTTGGGTACCCATTAGAGATTATTAGACTCAGGGACGTTCTACTGACTTGGACCCTGATTCGAACTTGAGACTTTCAAGTTAGTAGCCTAGTGCTCTACTGCTTGGGCTTCGCCGTCAACTTCAAAATGATATTATATTCAGTAATATTTGAGGTATTCTAAAACATTGACATTTTAAGCAAAAACTTACATGCACAAATAGTTTCATTTTTATAGAAACTTTTGTTACAGGCACTCTGTCCAATATACGCTGACACGGTTTGTGATAAAGACATCTTTTAAAAGTATCAATATTAGAAATTTTTAAACTTGTATTTTAATGTAATAAATTATTTTTTTTTTAACGATGTCAGTAGATTTACAGTACCATCGAATAAATGTTACTTAAATTAGAGAGTATTGGTTCATAATAGCTTGCCATGTCGCTTTGATGAAATTTTGTCTTCGGACATTTACTTAGACCAAAAAAGTATTGCAACATCTTTTTTTTTATATTAAACATTTTACGTTAAACTACCCAACCGAATACTGAGTTTACAATAACATCCCAGTAAAATTACAACTATACTTAAATTAAGCTTACTACAAAACATATTTAAATGTAAATACATTACCCTCATCTATGAAATAAAGACTGCACGTACATTAAACTCTGCGAAATAGTCATAATTCATTTCTCTTACATTATGCTCCCAAACAAAATTGCGAATATACTTACAGTAAACTCTCCAAGGTAAAGTAGACTTCCGTCTGTCTGCATGTCATGTAGCTCCGAGACCAAGATTTCAATGTTGTTTACATCCATGTTACAATTTGTGTTTGTATTAGCAACATTCTGTTCGCTATCTGTTATGTTGATTTCCATTACTTTTGGAGCTCTGTTAAGAATCAATAGATAACATGAGATACACACTAACAAAACAAATATCAACACTGTTGAAGAAAGATACATTCGCAGTAATTCATCGTAAATACAATTTCAAGCATTTTGTACTGATACATCTAATTTATCGTTCGAGCAAAAAGGCTTTTAACACATCTAAATTGAAGTGTAACTAGACCACCCCAAATCTCCGTAATAACTATGGATTTAAGCTCAGTTATAAAAGGCGTCAAGAATGTTTGAAGATGATTGTATTCCTCTCTCCAAAGAATGATCTCCCCTATTCTTTCTCGAATATTCTTATATAAATCTACGGGGGATGGCACCTCGGGATATAAACATGATTTTTAATCCATTTTTAATTACTTCAACTTTTTAAATAAACCGGGAGTGATCTCCCCTAAACTTTCTCGAATATTCTTATATAGCACTATGGGGGATAGCACCTCGGGATATAGACATTATTTTTAATCCATTTTAATTGCTTTAACTTTTAAAATAGAATAGAATCTCGTAGGAAAAAAAGAATTTCGCACCAAGTGAACACCAAAACATATGCGTATAATAATGCGGAATATTATTAGTACTTGATAATTTCACTTGCGTTTTTCTTTAGAAATCTGAAATAGCGTAAATTACTACTTTCAGTCAACAGAAATTACTCAAAATTTGATAGAAGGCAAAGAACTAGATCGTTTATTTACAAGTGAAATAATCAAGTTATATGCTTTTGAAATACCATAGTAGAATAAATTCAGCTTCTGGTTACAGGCAATCGCTGAAAAGTTAATACCGAACTACAAATTAAATATACTACTTGTATACGAAATTTAATCAACCTAGCTGTAACGGTACTCAAGTTATCTTGTTTACAGACATACACACAGACATACACACAGACACACACAGACATACGGACAGAATTATAAAGACCGACTCGATGACGCATAGAACACCGAAATTATGATAAACCTGCATTTATTATTTTTGCCCGATTAAAATAAGTCCCCTATACTCGGTATATGATGAAGTACTAAGGTGTAAAACGATGAAAACTCAAAATTTCATGTGATTTTTGTGCACGATTAAAGTACTTCCCCTAAACTCTCTATATATAAAGTATGAAGGGGGTGCAAATCGAAAGTTTGATGGGAGGGGGTGCAAATCAAAAGTCTGAGGGGGGGGGTGCAAATCGAAAGTTCGTCCCCGGGTAAAAAAATTGGAACCCCCCCCCCCTTGAGACGATCCTGGCTACGCCACTGTGTTTACTTATATGTGTGACATTTCTTTTATCTATCTGAAACAGTACTCCAAGATATAGATATAAAGTTTGATGGGAGGGGGTGCAAATCAAAAGTTTGAGGGGGGGGGGGGGGGGGTGGGTGCAAATCGAAAGTTCGTCCCCGGGTAAAAATTGGACCCCCCCCCCTTGAGACGATCCTGGCTACGCCACTGTGTTTACTTATATGCGTGACATTTCTTTTATCTATCTGAAACAGTACTCAAGATATAGGATTTTGAAAAACTAAACATAGAATAATATCCACTTCTGGTTAGCGGAAATCGCTGAAAAGTTGAAACAGAACTACAAATTAGAGATTATACTTATATATGAAATTTCAACAACCTAGCTATAACGGTTCTCAAGTTATCATGTTCACATACACACACAGATACATACAAACACACAGACATACGGACAAAATTTCAAAACTATTTTTTTCTCACTCAGGGAGGTGTAAAACGTAGAGATTCGATCTTTTGGAGGATTTCAATAATTCCTCTATGTTTGTATACGAGAAAGTAAAAATAGATTAGAAATCATGGATATATTCCGAGTTATATAAGAATATTCTAGAAAATTTAGAGGAGATCACTCGCCGTTTATTTTAGAAGCATATTAATAAATGTTACCTAAAAATTGCAACTATGAGAATAAAACCAGCTATAAGCAGCATTGCTCCAATTATTATATTAGGAGAGTTTGGCTGGTCGCTGTCGTAATCATCTGCTTCACTATACAACATATCCGCAGTATCTCAAAGAGAAGAATATAAGTTTTAGTTAAAGCGTGGTATGTATTATAAGTGAATTAACTTAGAACTAGAGCTACCAATTGATATTTACCATTAAAGAAACAAGATTGCTATTGTTACCAATTGATACTTAACATTAAACACGCTAGATAGCTAGCATTAATAATTGATACGTACATTTTAACAAGCAAAAATACTAGAGTTACTAATTGATGCTTACTATTAAACAAGCTACATTCCGTGTCTTTTTCAGTAAACGCTTCCTTACACCCAAGAAGACAAGTTCCATCTGTGTAGCTACACCAAACCTTTGTGTCGTTGATCAAACATAAGGAACTGCATGCTGTATGACATAGTAACCAACAATACAAACTGCATTAAGGTTTTAGTATAGAATGTTACAATGAATAGAAATATTTATTTAGTAAAGAAAATTAACAGATACTGGTATTTTTAGTTATATCTTTACGTGTTTTATTTTAAAGCATTCTAAACTTTGTATCTTTCATTTACTAATTCCAATAGCTTATACTTTCACCTGTGAATAAGTTCTTTACTGCGTTAATTAAGTACAATCTACCATTATCACAATTTTTTCCCCCTGATATCCAGACAGTAGAGCCTACATTTATCACAAAAGATTCCGTGAAATCCAGGAATACACTTGAAACAGTAACCGTTAGTCGCGTTGCACTGTGAATTTAAACAGGTGTCAGAGCAGGTGCTTGTACAGTTTTGTCCGAAACGGCCACTCTCGCAATCTGCGTTGAATTACGGTGTTAGAAAAAAAATTAAAATAATTACTTAACTAAAAAAAAAAACATCAGTTATAGTAGTGTTGTGTTTTTCATTAGCATCAATGGTTATATGCTATTCATTCACCGCACTTTGTTGAAACTTAATTGTTAAGATAAACACGTTACCTTGATCACAAAGCAAGCCAATTTTGCCAACATTACAACTGAAACACCGACCATTGACGTTGTCACAAAGTTGGTCTGAACAATTGGTGCTGCAAGGCTCGCTACAATGATTCCCATACGTTGTAGCACTGCAATCTGTGTAGTTTTATCCACAATAATTAACTGCCTTATTAAACTACAAATATAGTTATAAATTACCGCCTTATGACCATACATGAATAAGAAGATCAGACACAAATAAAGCAAACAACGAAATAATTTTTTAACATTAAAGATCGATAATGAACCCAACCAAGTACATGAATGTATGAGTTAAAACAGGACTAAGTCAACGCAAGATAAAATAAACTTTTCTCACCCTCATCACAAAAGCCGCCCTGTTTCCCAATAATACAGCTATCACAGGTACCATTAACGTTGCTACACTGTTGACTGATACAGTTGGTGCTACATCTGTGTGTACAGTTCATACCATAGTATGTATTTTCACAGGCTGTTCAGAAACATATGCATTCCTTAGACTTTCTTTAAGATTTTAATTTAGATTTAAATTATCTTAAAAGTATCTTTTTTTAAATTTTTCCTTGCTAGTTCTATACACCAAATGTATTGACATGTACACCAATGTATTATCTTTATCATTTGATGAATGCCAGTGTGCGTATATAAAAAGGGCGGAATGTATACAATGTTTTTTCAAATCAATTTTTATTCTCATCGTTTAAACATTATAAATTACTCTAAGTCAATAAATGATAACTTACCGTACTCACAAAACACCCCTTGGTACCCAGCTGAGCAGCCCAGACATGAACCATCGATATTGTTACATTGTTGGTTTAAACACCTGCGACTGCACGTTTCCGCACATCCTGCGCCGTAGTGTGAGTCACTGCATGCTATCAAAGACAATTAAACCAGTGGCGTGACAGCCATTAAAACATGTCGGACACAGTTCACTGGAAGACTTGTTAGTTTTTAAATTCTTATACAATAATTGAATCGTACAGTTACTAACACCCTTCCCCTTTTCACATGATTGCTTTAAACTGTGCACATTTAATATTAACGTTTGCCTATAAACGTCTATCAATGCAGCTGTTTGTATAATTGTATGTTTGTATAATTGTCATCATTTAAAGTTATCTTATGTACATTATGGTGCTACTTCCCAGTCCATTTATACTTAAATAACTATTCAACTATGTTTAATCATTGAACTGGAGAAAGCGTTTTTTTTTCCGTAATATTTTATAATTTTTTGCCAACTTATCACAAGCTAAATGGTGCTTCTGGTGCTGTGCGCTAGGTAGACAGTACTTAACACTCAGTTTTTACTATATTTAACATGTATTTCCTGATTTTCTGATCTCTTTAATATAAATGTAGTTTCTCATATTTAAAAACTATTGTATAGAAAAATATCAGTATAGATTTTAAAGAAGTATGGCAAACTCTCTTATTTTTTAGACTTTATTTGTAATTGGCATACGTTCCTAAGATTACATTTTGCCAAAACCCAACACCATTTATTTCAAATCGACTGACATGCTACTCTTTGAACAAGATACAGTACATATACTGATTGTAATACATACGTGTAATCAATCTTCATCTCTAACGTTTATTTGTTAACACCAGCTTACCTTCAGAGCAGCCGTAACCTTCATAGCCTACAGGACAACCCGACAGACATCCGCCTGTTGTTGGAAAACATTTCTCAGTTCTATCGTTACAGCTGCAAGGGATGGAACATTCGGGCCCATATGCTTTAGGTCTGCAGAAATGATCTACGATGTAAGCAGACAGTAAAAGAAAATTTGTTACCAAACTGAAACTAATATAAAAAGCGTAGTGTTTTAACAAAACATTAAACTAAATTGTTATCCCTATTTGGTAATTTACATTGCAGTATTTTTTTAACCTGCTAGCTGTCCGCATTTAAATTACTACTAAGTTAAAATATATTTAATATCATTTAACATAATTAAAACTCTTCATATTTCTTACGACTAATAAACATAGATGTATGATTCTATATGTCGTGTTTTTCTTACCGCTGTAGGTCTCCACCTCACATAGCGTTAATGTGTCACTAGTAGAAATGGTCACACTTGAAATATGAAAGGCTGGGGGTCTGGTTGTGATGGTGTAAATAGTGACGTTATTGTCGGGGTTTCCATCAGTGTAACTAAATTCTTCCCGATTAAATGGGCTGCTGCATGTTAATTTAAATCCTTTAATCCGGGCCCTTTTGTCTTCTGATAAACAAAAAAATTATTACACATCTATGTAACTTATTTTTCAATTTCTTTATTAACATAGTAGAATAGATTGGCATAAAATGCCGTGTACCTCTGTTATGGATTACAAATCTATTCAGGAACAATGGCTGACTAAATGTGACTTCCCATACGCCTGGCTCATTGAACAAAGTGTGTGAACATGATTTGTGAGTGTAAAATTGTCTACTTGTGTTCCCGTCTACAGCTCTACTTGAATCAAATGATACACCTTCAGCAATAAACGTAGAAGATTGCCAAGTTGATTGCTTTAAGGCTACGTTACGACCTAAGAAAAAAGCCAAATTTATGACGTTTTTATAATTGATACATTATAATATAAAAAATTAAAAACAAAAGAATAAGTTACCTTTATCTATCTATATATATAATTATCTTCTTGGAGACGCTAGAAAAGAAGCTGTAAGTGCGCTCCCTACCACCCCACCCCCACATGATCTGGTGAGCTGTGGTTCACGTTAAATGTCTACAATCGTAGAGCCGGGTTTAGTGACGGCTACTAGGGGCAGATAATTTAGTTTGAAACGATTTTAAAATTAGGGAAGGTAACTATGAGGAGGCTTCTTTCACGGGGGGGGGGGGGTGTAGGGTAGGGGTTGGGGGAAGGAGGGTGGGGGTAGTATCGTCCTTAACGACCTACTGATAGTGTTTTAAACCAAATATTTTCAGTGGCAGCATTGGTACTGTCGAATTCACAAATTATGAATTACTGAAAAGTAGAAAACAAAACAACTAAATAGCGGCGAACGTGAACGTGAACGTGACCGAAAACGTCAACGTCAACGTCAACGTCAACGTCAACGTCAACGTCAACGTCAACGTCAACGTCAACGTCAACGTCAACATCAACATCAACATCAACATCAACATCAACATCAACATCAACATTGTCCGTCTCTCTCTCTATCTCTCTCTCTGTGTGTAGACTTGAGTGTGTATCTGTGAACACGATGAGTACCGCTATAGATAGGGTTGATAATATTTGATATATAAGTATTTATGTTACGGTATTCACGTTATCGTATTCACAGACATACATACACACGCACACTTACACACGCACGAACATACTGGCAAAGCCAAGTTTTTCCGACTTGATTACGGGTAAAACGCTGAAATTTAGATAAATTTATATTTGAAATTTTTGCCCGATAAAAATAAGTCCCCTATGTTCCGTATATGAACAAGTACTGAGGTGTAAAACGGTGAAAACTGAAAAAAATGCATGTGATCTGTCTGCACACTTACAATATATCCTCTATATTGTGTATACGAATAAACCGGGAGTGCACATTATTTTCTACTAGGTTATATTCTATTTATAAAGGTTTCTAAACTTTCTCGAATATTCTAATATAACACTACGGGGGATGGCAACTCGGGACATAGACAATATTTTTAATCCATTTTTAATTACTTAAACTTTTTATAATAGAATAGAATCTCGTAAAAAAAAGAATTGCACACCAAGTGAACGCCAAATAAAATGTGCATAGTAGTGCGGGATATTATTAGTACTTTATAAATTCACATGCGTTTTTTTTTTGAGAAATCGGAAATAGCGTAAATTACTACTTCCGGTCAACGGAAATTACTCAAAATTTGGAAGAAGGCAGAGAATTAGAATTTGCACATGTGAAATTTCATTTATCTATCTGAAATATTACTCAAGTTATAGGCTTTTGAAAAATCTAAAGTAGAAAAAGCTCCACTTTAGGTTATCGGAAATCTCTCAAAAGTTGATATGGATCTTCGATTTTGATATAATAGTTATATATGAAATTTCATCAACCTAGCTGTAACGGTACTCAAGTTATCGTGTTTACACACACACACACACTCACGCAGACACGCACACACACAGGGACATACGGACAAGATTGCAAAATTATGTTTTTCCGACTCAGGGAGACCTAAAATGTCGAGATTTGCAAAAATCTCGATTTTTTTTTGCACGATTACAAGACTTTCTCTATACTTCGTATGTACGAGAAAAGTAAAAATCAAAGTGATTGCGTGTGTTTGTTCGTGTGTTTATGTGTGTGTGTGATTTGATTTGATTCCTCTCTGTATACAGTTTATAAAAATACAAATTAATTGTAGTTTGGTACCGTTCATTCAAATGTCTTGGTACTATGGAAAGTTGATGAGAATTCTCTTACTATGGTAATACAAATTAATTAAAACTTCTTACTTGTGGCGCCCCGATTGTGTGATAATGTCAATACACGGTTTTGCGCCCAGTGTTCCAGAGCCGCTATCGTAGCACTTGGTATCAGTGAATTGGGTTTTTTTGCATAGCGGGTAAGGGGTACTATTATATTCAGCGCTACACCGCGTTTACACTTATGACATGTATACTAGACTTGATCTACTAAAGTGTATACTAAACATGTTACGGGTATATGGAACATCTTCTGAGTCGCAGGGCACAAAACCACACCCCTTTTTATGTTCTGTGTCAAGTTTTTGTCTTCGCTCGCTGAGCGAAAACATAGGACATGTTCTGAATTTTCAGATGAGTGCGCATGCGTCAAAAGTAGTAAGCGCATCAATCATAGTTCTCAGCTGATTGCAAAATTAAATATAGATTCTATAATGATTTTGAGTTTTCGAGCACACGATTTCATAATTTATGATTTCTCTAGGCCCTGCTAAAATTTACATTTTTATAATTACTTATTATTTCTTTAATTAAACCCCAAACACGTTGTAATGAAATAATGTAATGTCTAATTGCCTTAAAACCAGTTGAGGTATTAATTACGAAAATATTAATTAGTTAAAAAATTTAATTGAACCAAAGTTATCTCCAATTTTTTCTTGACCAATATTTTGTTTTAAGTGTATCAACATATTTTCAGTTTCCGTCTGACATGAATAAATCTTAAGGTCCACCAACCAGAATGTGCTCGTGGGATCACACATAATCAAGTAACTATAAAAAAAAAAACAGGCAGATAAAAAAGTCATAGGCTAATTATTTAAGTTTAAAATGGGACATAATTAACCTCAGAAACGAAGTGTGGTTGGGGGTATGCCATATGCCCTACCCTCAAAACTAGATCTACTTTTATTCTTAATAATAGACTCAGTATAGTGATAACACGATCTCAATACGTTTAATGAACTTGACAAATGCAAGTTATCTGAGAAATCGGGCCTCTACTTCAAGCAAACAAATATTTAGCCCTGTTTATTGGAAGCACCGTGGCTACACCATTTTCCTTTTTAAAAAAATAAAGCTGTGTGCCTACTATCTACGTTTTTTTTTTTATTTTTTACTTTGATTACTCTTTATTTTAATTGTCTGGGCCTATATAGCAGACGCTCCATGTCAAAGGTCATCATGCTTGTTTTATAAAATGTTCTATAACATGTTCTATAAGTGTGAACTCTAAAGTATACATGTTCTGTGGAGAAAATTGTTCCAGATAAAAATAACTTTTGGCGGGCTTTGTATTTTGGAAAATGTATAGTATACATGTCGTAAGTGTAAACGCGGTGTTAAAATAGCTCCAGCCGCAGCAGCCGACTCTCTGGCGATTGCGTTACACGAACCGTCTTGTCAACCCCCCCCCCCCCCCCCCCCTCCCGTGAGCTCTATAGCTCCTACGTTAAATTTAAGGAGTTCGATTTAATATGCATCAGATGTGGCATTCTAGTTGTTTACAAAAGTGAATTAGGTGTGATTGCCGCCCTATGAGTACTATGGTGCTTTTGTTAGCTTTAACGAGCGCCCTGCAGTACCGACTTGGCGGCAAACATTATTCGATGATGAAATCGAGCCAGGGGCCGTTTGCTGCGCCTCTGCGGTAGTGTACTGTGGACTCCCGAGAGCTCCCTGACACCCGGTCGGTCGTCGAATTTTGTGCACTCAAGGTTTTCCTACAGCAATCCCGTGCTTCGATATATATTATACAGAGAATATAGTGCAGGTGTTGTTTACCGTTAAATAACGGAGCTTTAGATAACAAATTTACGTGTCAAAGAATTTAGGATTGCTAACATTGAAGAAACACTGTTAAAATATTAAGCCCGACTTTCTTCTGAGACGGAGCAATGCGCGACGACGGAACGATAGTTTAGGAATAAAATTTAGTTACAAATAATAAACGGATAAACGAAGTTGTTTTTTTAAATAGAAACTTAAGCACAATTTGCGCCTATGATTGTGTAGAACGTAGAAAGAACTGCTTAACTTATGTGGAGCAACTTAATTTTTTTACTGTAGCATTTATTTTTGTTTTAACATATATAACATAAAAAAGAATGAAAAAAAATGGTATTAAAATATTTACCACCGTTGATGTGAACAGAGCAAACCATTTTGTCTGATTTAAAGTCTATGAGAACTTCTTTTACTAACACGTTTGATCGGCATAAGATCTCAGTGACCTTAAGAGAGAATTTAACCACTTCCATCCTATTGCACGGGATGCTTTCTCCATTTTCTTTGACAAATGAAACTTGGGGATTTTCTAGAGAGTCTAGAATGAAAAAAAAAAAAAACAGATTGGTGTCCCCTTAAACAATATAAATCTAATTCCAATTTATTCGAGCTGATGCATAGGGATTACCGGACATATGTTCACACCTAAAATATGTGTTGTCACTAAATAGGCCCTATAAATGTTAGCTTTTATTTGTATAAACATTACAACAATATTTAATCTCATATAAAAACATTTAGTGTTTTTATTTGTTTAAGTGTACAATGCATATGCTTTTTTTAGGATTGCTAAGTTAACACACAGGAAAATATTTGTTAGACATTTTTGACACATTTATATATTTCACCCTAAAATATATCTATTTTAGATGGCTATGACAGTTTTTAAGGATACTATCTATCTATATATACAATTCTTTTCTTGGATACCCTAGAAAACACCGAGCTGCAAGCGCATAGCAGGCCCCTCTCTTCCTAACTAGGCATACCCCTACCACCCCCACCCCCACATGGTCTGGTGAGCTGTGGTTCACGCTAAATGTTTACAATCGTAGAGCCGGGTTTAGTGGCGGCTATTAGGGGCAGATAATTTAGTTTGAAAGGATTTTAAACTTAGGGGAGGTAACTAAGAGAAAGCTGCTTTCGCGCGGGGGGGGGGGTAGGGTAGGGTAGGGGTAAGGAAAATAGGGTGGGTGGTTGGGGGGGTCGGCTCGTATATATAACTCTCTGCATGGACACCACGAAGCAAGTCGACCACCTAACCCTCCTCCCGCCGCCTCCATCGATCTCCTGGCACGTGCAACAGATTATTTCGCTACCACCCCCACCCCCAACAATCTGGTGAGCTGTAGTTCACCCCGAATGTTTACAATCGTAGAGCTTGCTCGAAATAGTGACTGCTGTTAGTGGCAGATAATTCAGATTTTAACGATTTGAAACGAAGAGATGTAACAAGTTATTCTTGATCTTTTCATTGCAATGTGTAAACTGTCTTCACAACAGCTGATTTCAAGGGCACGGAGCATAGTTTCTTCCAGGCGTCTCTTCGGGGGGGGGGGGGGGGCAAAAGAGCCCCCCCCTCCCCCCACGAAAAAAGTCTACCATCCTCCCCCACCCCCGAACGAAATGGAATTCATATAGAAAATATATACATTTAACAGTGTCCGCCATACCCCCCCCCCCCCGAAGAAAATCTACCGCCCCCCCCCCCGAAATTTCAAGTGCCCCCCCCCCCCCCCCGAAGAAAAAAGTCTGGAAGAAACACTGGCATGGAGGAGGGTGGGTAGTGCTGAATTCACAAATTAAGAATTACTAAAAAGTAGAAAAAAAACTTCTAAATAGCAACGTAATTTACTCCTTGGGTCTGCTCATTTGTATTAATTAAGCGTGGACACGTCGTTTGTCACTGACAGTTAGTTTAAACTAATTTAGCGCGGTCAATAGGTCAAACGTTTTGGTGTCGTTGTGCCATTTACGTCTTGTGCCCGTTGATGTTTACAGAAGAAATATGCTTATAAAAATACATGTCTTGAGTTTTTAAACAGTTATATATAAAATATTGTTCGAAAAACCGTGTTTTAGAATGCATTGTGAAAACCTAGGATTTATATTAAACCATATAACACGTTATCAAGTAAGATGTTTACATACCAGGTTTATCGAAAACAACTCTAAGCCACGAGACATAATAAGCTATCTCCCACGACACAGTAAATGTCTTAACACTTGCACACGTCTTGTCATCGCCATCTGTTAATGTGTTGTTTGACACTGTGGTTCCTGTTTGTACAGTAGCGAGATCACCTGTTTGACGGGAAAAAGTCAATAACATAGATGGTGATTCTACCACCTCATGACATACTTGTATACATTTCTTATCGTCAGGCTACTCACCGTATTGACATAGATGACCAAACCATCCCCTGTCACATGTAGACCCTTCTGTACACTTTCCGTCAACATCACATTGGTTATTGTCACAGCGACATTTAAACTGACAGCTAGAGCCGAACCAGCCAACGTCACATACTGAAGCATATGTAAAACATTCATATTTAGTTAACTGTTATTTCATCAGCCTAACAAATATACCCTACACTGATTCCTTCGTTTTTAAAAGTGTGTTCCGGATATAAAGGCAGCTATGAGTAATCTATAATAATAGTTTCGCTGTCTGTCACTCTATCTATCTTTGTGTTGGGAACGATATAGAGAAAACACAAGGAAGTAAAAACTTTAAGTCATACGGAAAATGAAACGTAACGTTACATGGAACATATTGAAGAAACAATTTCATAAAAAACGTTTTAATAACAGGCTTTTATGTAATGATGCACTAAAAAGTAGAAAATACATAATACACTACTATTTAAATTACTATAAAGAAAAGCGTGGAGCTCTTCTCAAATATTAGTAAAGGTATCCAATAGGTACTAAAGTGACCTACGCTTTTCTTTATAGTAATTTAATTAGTAGTGTATAATTTAGTTTCTACTTTTTAGTGCATCATTACATAAAAGCTTGTTATTAAAACGTTTTTCATGAAACTTTTTTTTTACAAGCTTTTATTTAACTTGCTTCCTCTGTCGTCAGTCGTCAGTCGTCAGTCGTCAGTCTGTCGTCAGTCTAGATCGAAACGCAGGAGTGAAAAGAAATAAAAAACAATTCCCTAAAAAGTAGTTTGCGTGCAGAATTTATTTCAGGCATCTCTTCGCGAAGGTACTAAGACCACATCCCTCCCGGGTTAAATGTCTAAGCCGCCCCCCCCCCCCCACACACACACTCCTCGAACGCAATATAATTTTTTAGAAACAATATAATTTTACAAGTGTTGCCCCCCCCCCCACCCCGGAGAAATTTTACTCGCCCCTGCAAAAATTTCCAGTGACTATACCGCACCCCCGGAAAAAAGTCTGAAATAAACACGGTCTGGGTTATTGAGGTTTAGCAGCCAAAAGTAGGATACGTTTCTATATTATAGAAGTAGCGTTTATTCTTGGTCTGTATGATCTACTAATGCAACCAGTGTTTCTTACAGACCTTTCCGAACATTGTGCGGGGGGGGGGGGGCTTTGGAATTTTCGAAGGGGAGAAGGGGGTTAGACTAAATTTTCTGGGGTCGGACCCTGTTAAAATTATATATTTTCTAATTAAATTATTTTTCGGTGAAGGGGACGTGTTTCGGGGTGGGTGTCGAGTAGTTGGGGTGGGGGGGGGGCGCACCCCTCAGAGTCGCCTAAAAGAAACTCTAATGCGACTTTTGTCAGGCTTCATCTTAGGTGCAAGTTTAGTGGTATGACTACGAATATATTTAGTATCATTGTGCAGTAACTAAGCGTAGATAAGCTTAAAGTCGGCTAAAATGCCGATTCTGGATGCAAATCTGTTTTCAATTATATTTTATTCTTTTCCGGTTAAATATAGAGTTGAAGTGGTGATTTTGTTTTGGTTTAGAGAAAAATATAAAATTAGCACTCTAGCACCGCTGTATTTCATCCTTAAGGGGGAATTTATCTTGTATTAATTATATTTTTCAAAACTTGCATTTACATCATATTTATTTTTTCGCGCATGGAGTTGTATTATACATGACATGCTTTTTATGCTATGAATAACTTTTAAATTATTTATCTTTTTCAGTCAGCATTTAATCACTATGTTTACAGTTGTTTTTCTACGCTCATTTATGTTAGTGTATTTTAGACAAAAACAAGTTAATTATAAAAGTCTAGTGACATTTATGCGCAATTTCCTTGTTATCTAAAAATAGCTCTGACGTATAATCCTGGGATGCGTTCAAGCTAGAAGAACGATCGGTTTGTAGGTGTTTATGTAATTTTAAAATTTGTGACCAAACGAGAAGATATTTTTGAAAACTTTCTTGGGCAATATTGTTCTAAATTATGGCAGAAATCGATTGGTACATGTTTCAAGTCGCTAAGTGGTCTGGTTGCTGAGATATGGGCCAAAAACTGCATTTTTTCTAGGTTTTTTGGCTTTTCCGGGAAATACATGAAAGAAACCCGGAATTTGTATGGCCTATGCTCATTCTCGTAACTTGCTTAACATAATTGCTTTTGGAACTAGTCATCGATATTGCTTCGTTGAGGAGGAGATACGACTTAAAGCCCGGACACACATTCATCCATACATACATTCATTCATCCATCCCTTCCCAGAAATGACGAGTTAATAAACGCAATTCCCCAGAATGGAAATTGCGCTAAAAAAGGATAGTAATATGCATAGACAGCAAAACTACGTAAATTATTTGTTGCATAAACATGTTCTCTTAGTCTTTAACAGAAAAATCAAATTTAAAATTTCGTTAACAAATTGGATACAGAAGTAAAGAGAGCGATTGATCTCCTACAAGGAGTGTGTTCTTCAGCCGAATGCGTTCGTAGAAAATCCGTATAAATATTTTACTTAAATTAAGAAAGGCGATATTATTTGTGTGCTGGAATTTGATTATAAGGGATGTAAAATAATAATTTTAACCAACCATATACGATTATTTAACGAAGAAATAGTATCTGTGTAATTTGAATAAGCATATGGTAGTTTTAGGTAATTTGTTGACATGGGTATTTATCTACAATCTGGTGTAGGCACGAGGCTTTTTCTATAGTTGGAGTTTTTTTTTTTTAATTATTAAATCATACCGCAACTCGTGTATGCAGGTATAATCCACATATAATTAGTGTTACGTCTAGGTTAGTTTCAAATAAACAACAACGCTTCGTGACTACGTTCACTACTTTTATTCCGTCTCAAATATAAAATATATACATTACAGAGTAGCCCTCGCCCTAATCGCTACCAACTAACCCCTTACAACCATTCACTCCAACTTTTATACGGCATTCGACCCTGGGGTAACAATACATAAACACACAGGGTTAACAATACGCTAGGGTAAACTCAACTCACACACGCACTCTCCCCTAATTCTAGATTATTCTAACCTATTTCTATCTAACCTACAACTGACCCGTAACAATTAGCTTATCACATTTGCCGCCTGTATCATCAAATTATCTTTACTGAAAAAACACTTCGGCAATGAACAATGGACATAGAGCTGAGTCGAAAAACCCTGGTGGATAATGTACTAGTAGACAAAGCTATTGTTTGCGCAATCCGATATAGCATGAAGAAGTTAGTCTAGTAGTGTATGTGTATGTTGTAATGAAGGCTGGTATATGATTTGCACTTACCTCCAGTTGTAACCTTTATACAAGTGTGCAATAACACGATTGACAGTGATATAGTTAAGTACAACATGGTGTTTTACTCAGAAGATGATCTAGAAACACAAACATATATATATATATATATATATATATATATATATATATATATATATATATATATATATATATATATGTATATATATATATATAGTTATAGTTAGGTATAGGTATCGGTATCGTTATAGGTATAGGTATAGGTATAGGTGTAGGTGTAGGTGTAGATGTAGGTGTAGGTGTAGGTGTAGGTGTAGGTGTAGGTGTAGGTGTAGGTGTAGGTGTAGGTGTAGGTGTAGGTGTAGGTGTAGGTGTAGGTGTAGGTGTAGGTGTAGGTGTAGGTGTAGGTGTAGGTGTAGGTGTAGGTGTAGGTGTAGGTGTAGGTGTCGGTGTCGGTGTCGGTGTAAGTGTAGGTCTAGGTGTAGGTCTAGGTGTAGGTGTACGTCTACGTCTACGTCTACGTCTACGTCTACGTCTACGTCTACGTCTACGTCTACATCTACGTCTACGTCTACGTCTACGTCTACGTCTACGTCTACGTGTGGGTGTCTAAGTGGGTGTGGGTGTGGGTGTGGGTGTGGGTGTGGGTGTGGGTGTGGGTGTGGGTGTGGAAGTGGATGTAGATGTAGATGTAGATGTAGATGTAGATGTAGATGTAGATGTAGATGTAGATGTAGATGTAGATGTAGATGAAGATGTAGATGTAGATGTAGATGTAGATGTAGATGTAGATGTAGATGTAGATGTAGATGTAGGTGTAGGTGTAGGTGTAGGTGTAGGTGTAGGTGTAGGTGTAGGTGTAGGTGTAGGTGTAGGTGTAGGTGTAGGTGTAGGTGTAGGTGTAGGTGTAGGTGTAGGTGTAGGTGTAGGTGTAGGTGTAGGTGTAGGTGTAGGTGTAGGTGTAGGTGTAGGTGTAGGTGTAGGTGTAGGTGTAGGTGTAGGTGTAGGTGTAGGTGTAGGTGTAGGTGTAGGTGTAGGTGTAGGTGTAGGTGTAGGTGTAGGTGTAGGTGTAGGTGTAGGTGTAGGTGTAGGTGTAGGTGTAGGTGTAGGTGTAGGTGTAGGTGTAGGTGTAGGTGTAGGTGTAGGTGTAGATGTAGGTGTAGATGTAGATGTAGATGTAGATGTAGATGTAGATGTAGATGTAGATGTAGATGTAGATGTAGATGTAGATGTAGATGTAGATGTAGATGTAGATGTAGATGTAGATGTAGATGTAGATGTAGATGTAGATGTAGATGTAGATGTAGATGTAGATGTAGATGTAGATGTAGATGTAGATCTAGATCTAGATCTAGATCTAGATCGAGATCGAGATCTAGATCTAGATCTTGATCGAGATGTAGATCTAGATCTAGATCTAGATGCAGATGCAGATGCAGATCTAGATGCAGGTGCAGGTGCAGATATAGACCATGTTTACGAACTTTAGCAAACAATACCGGATAATTTCAGACCCTAAGTTATTGTTGTTTCTAGATATGATTACACTAATTATTTAAAAGACCAAAATGGAGTTGATAAATATTAAGATGTACAAAAACAAACCTTTTTTTTCTTCATCGTCGATATTTACCATTCACACACAGACATTCAGCATCGATGCGTTTTAGTGCGTTTTTATGAGTAAAATCATTATATAGTTCTATTATCTTATTTTAACTTTCTCGTAGGCATGTTACAGTGAAAGTCAAATTGAATTATCTATATCTAGTAGCCATTTCTACCCGTAACAAGTTAATAATAGGCCTTGATCTGTACATATTGTAAATGTTATACCTGTTGAAAAAATCATTGTATAAAATG